ATATTTAAAAAAAAAGTATTTGTTTGCTACTTACAGATCTGACTCTGGTGACGAGCGTCGACCTACTATTCGCCGCGAAGAATGTGAAGTTCAAGACTATTGCAATGATGATCATTATTTGGCAGAGCAGGAATATTTTAGTGGAGAAGAATATTATGAAGAAGACAGTATGTTGTCAGGAAGCAGGTGAGGATATTCATTAAACTGGGAAAAATATTTCAATAAATTAGGTACGTATCTGTAAAGGCTTCACTAAGCACACTTATACTTAAAATTCTCTAATGAAGTTAATACTCCACAACTGCTGGCAAGTGAAATGGTGAATAGGAATATTGTGTGTACCATAGATCTTTTGTATTTGGCATCATGTGCTGACTCCAGCAAAACCTCTGTACCAAATTCAAAGGAAGGCACGAAGTTCCTTTGAACTGAGTATAAACTAGATAGTGCACAATCAAAGAAACATTTCATTTTAAATAAAAGTTTACGTTCAATGGGAGAAGGATCAAGCTCAGATAAAGGAACTTTTAGAAATGGTTTTCTTCTTTTAATTTAACTTAAAAAGAAAGGTGAAACTGGTAAACTATGGACTGAGATCATAAGGTAGTACCATAAGCTGGACCAATGAAGAACTGGACGACTTCCTTTTGAAAATTCGCATTACACCTCTTTATTAATAATCCTCCTCTTGGCACCACTTTTGTCTCCTTAGTACAAACACTTAACATTGTCATAGTTGTCCTGGCCTTTATGTGTTTGGAATAGATGTTTTTTAAGTTTTATTCATAAGCTTCATGGAAATGCCATCAATTGAATTTTAGTCAACAACTAGCATTTCTCACAAATTTGTGTAACTGCGTATGTCCAAATTTGTATTAATCTAAGGCTTCTTACTGTAACTGCAGAGTTCTAGTTTTGTAACTTGTTACCTCTCAGTTTTGTAACTCATTTCTGTTTTCTCTGGCCAAAACTTGGAGTAGTATCCTAGTTAATTATAGTATTTCTGTCCAGTAGGGTTTTTCCAAGGTCCAGTAGTGTTTTTTAACAACTCTTGTCTGATCCTGTGTATTTAATACCCATGATCTTTGCATTCAATATCTTAATTTCAGATTTGAGAAGAAAACGCTGTCATTTAATTTTGGTAAATTTAAGCTTTTCTCTGAAACTTTATTTCACAATTTCTTCAGGAATGGACTGGGATGGGTTTTTCTAACTGTAGAACAGTGGCTCCCAAGTTAGTTCAGCTTTGAGCATTACCAAATTAGTTCGATTTGAGCACCATGCCGTTGGCTTCAGGCAGTGATGGCTTCAGCAACAGAGCAGGTCCTAACTTTGCATTGGGACCACTCCTGTACGTAAATAATAGGTTTCCAGTTGTTCAGGCAATGATTGGGTGCTACTTTGGGAGGAAGTCCTGATATTCCTGATTTAGTCTTTAAAACATGAGATTGTTCCAGTGTTTTCTGAGTATCAACCTGCCATGGAACAGAACCTGTATTTGGTAATTCTGAAAAGCTTCCTATTTAAAAAAAAATTAAATGCACCTTTTTCCCAAATATCTTGTGATTTTTTTAATTCCGTAATACTCACCTTCTCATTATGACGTAGAAAGACATATGCATTTACAAGATCTTGAGTAGATTGTGTTCATCTTCCTTACGATAGCTATGTTTCCCTTCTGCTGAATAAATTCAGTAACTTCTCAAAAATATTCTCCACTTCTGTCAATAAATTTTTATTTTGAAGTCCAGCCCAGAAGTAGAGGAATTTATTGCCATTTTATCTTGGATCCGTAAGCGCATATGCAGAAGTGCCAGACATGCTTAATTCTCTTCCTCCTTCTCCTCCTCCTATACTGCCTATCTTTGCCATCTGAATTCTGGCATGATTGGCACCTTAATCTGCATCTTGTTGGTTTGCATAAAAGCTAAGATTTGCATGAAAGCTAAATTTTACAGAATTCTCAGGTCACTAATTTTTTTATATGATAATTACAGTCAAATAACACCCTTACAAGATTTGATTTTCGATAAGAGAACTATCCAGAATGTAAAAGGCTTAATTCCATTCTCTGAGTTTGTGTGCTCTACACATTAACCAGGATTCACAAGAGAGCATGGCAGCAGTAGAACAGAGTTGGGTTTTTGTTTTGGTTTTTTTTTAAGCATTGTACAACTGAGGTCCTACATTTTAGCCTGTACTGGTAAGAATAACTTCATTGAAAATATAATTTGGTAAAAATTTTACCTGAAAACTTACTATGTAACTATATTAGTACAAAAGTGTATGCTCACTATCTCAAGATTGGTTTGCATACAGAAACTGGATTTTAAAATTGAGTCGTGTAATTATATAATGTACTGTTTGGTTTTCTTGCTGGAGAAAGAGTAGATTTGAAAATCTTCTAGAAAAAATCTAATATATCAATTTACAGAAACTGACTGAAATAACATTTTCTTTATTGTATTTTAAACGCAGGCATATATATGATTACCACTGTAGATATCACTGCCATGACTCAGATTTTGAGAGACCGAAAGGCTACCATCACCCACATGGTTTTTTTGAGGAAGATGATTCACAGATCTGTTATGATACAAAAAGATCTCCTAGGAGACGGCTGCTACCTCCAACACCAACACGTAAGTACATTAAAAACAATTTGTTTGCAAATCCAGAATTATTTAAATGCATTCAGACATGTTCCAGTTTAAAAAGGCTTCTTTTTAACTTGGATTTCAAACATGACATTTCTTGATTACTGTTGCTAGTGGATTATTGCGTATGGCAGAAATATCTATCCATCCTGAGAGATGGCTGAGAGAATCTATGGATCCTAGCTTACAAGTCAGTCTTTCTAGTCTCTCTTGCCCCACTCATCCAATAATATAAAAATAACCAATTTAATTGCCAGTTTTAACTTGATTTGATAAATTAAGAAATGCAAGGTAGAATGCAGCAGTGGTTTGCTCTGAAACTTTGATCAGAGGGTTTCAATCTGTGTGCCCTTTATTCACACCCACAGATGTGCAATGTTGCCATCAGTCAGTGCCCTTGTCTCTCTAGTGACTCACCTGCTGGCACTTCCCCTGTCTCTCAAGACATGCTGTTTAATGACATCGTAATCAGTTCCATTTACTTCTTTACCTTGTACTGTTTTAGTAAACACTAGAGTCTGAGAGAACCAAGAATGAGCTTAATGGTGCTTTGGGTTTGGTTTTTTCCCTTACTTTTGAAGTGCCTTTAGCTTTTTAACATGAGTTTCTCAAATCTCTGTGAAAAATAAAAATGTTATCCTGGGCTAAGCATCTTATTTCAGATTCACATTGGTACTTTATTCTGCCATCTCAGGAACAATGCTTAATATTCTGTGTTTCTTCTGAGGGAGAATTAGTGTTGTCAACTGATTTTTTTACCTGTTTCTTTAATTTTTATTTATTTTCCTCCTTAGATCTTTCCCTTGGTTTCCCCTCATCTCAAGCACAATATTGCTTTATCTGAATTTCTAAAAGCTCTCATGCTTCTTATCTTGTAATTTTGTTCCAGGCCATACTGCAGAGATTAGCAGTGCTAATCCTCTGGTGAAACTAGGCACAGACTCAAAGCTCTTGGATTTTGATCTTTGACCTCTGACACCTCACGGAGAGGAAGCACTTGGGGTTGTGCAGTGTAAAATAAAACGCTTTCCAAGGCTAAAATAAAGAGACTGGGTTGGTGCACAAGAAAAAACACTCAGCTCCATGCAACCCCATAGTGTCCCTAAGGGTACTCTTACGCATGGTGTGGTCAGTACAGCCAGGTCTGTTACATGTGTCTTTGGATGATGCCGTCTAACCAGTGCCATCCAGACAAGACAATACAGGATCGTTTCTAGAAGAGTCTCCACGTTTTGTCTGCTCTAAGGTGGATTGGCTTTCTAGCAAAACCAGAGTTGTCTTTCATTCTGATGATGCTAGCAGCCAGAGCCACAGTCCATTTATCTGTGGTAGTATGACTGTAAGGACCCTGTGGGTAGGAAAATGGGTTTCAGTCCTTTCCTGTCTCAGGCACCCTGAAGAAAATGCAGGTATAGATTTAAAAAATAAAAGTTTTTCAGAGAAAAGTGTTATGGGATCATTATACAGTGCCTGAAGTACAGTCTCAGACTGTTTAAAGATACCGAAAGCTGTAGTAAAGGGCAGCAGCAAAATATATTATTATATAATAAAGGAAACATTCTTCAGCAATGCTGTCAGTGCTGGATCCTCACTTTTGGCACTCAGCTCCTTGCGACAAGTCTTGTAATGCTCTCCGCTGTTTGGCTTTCTGACCTTAAGGGGCACAGATGGAAAAGCAGAAAGAATACAAGTCTTGCACTATAGAGGGTAAATAACTCAGATGAATAGATGATAGTGAAGGTACAGAAAGCTGCTAGCTCTCTTCCAGTAGCAGAAGGAAAAGACATCAGACAAAGGGGACTCCTGTACATCTTTCTACAAGCTTTTCTGATAGCAGAGGAATTTTAAGCCAAAGAAAGAAATGGATGCTTTATATATCCTTTCCATACATTGCAGGAGAACCACCTTCTTATAAAAATCCTCTGGGGTCTTCCCATGGAAGTGTTGAGAGGAGAGGATTGAAGGCTTCCTGTGACTGCAGCCTTTGGGCTTCATTTAAGTTTTCTGATAAAGTTTTGATGACAGTATTAAGCAGACATTTCTTTGGAGGAAATGTAATAGATAAGAGGGTAGTTGACATCCTAGGATAAGAGGACCTAGTTCTGATAGAAATTGCATAAGGGTAATGTAGGAAGTAAAGTCCTTTGACAGTATAATGTCACAAGAGCACAGTCAGGTCTCCTGCCATAACCATATACTTAATGTTCAAGAACATAGTTGAGAAATTTTAGAGGCTTGGTATCTCAGCAGATTTTAAAAGAAGCTCAAAACTATTATTTGTAACTAGCGTATGGGCTGTTTGGCCTGGGGAGGCAGCCTTCATGTTCTCATGTAAAGAAAGAAAAAAGAGAAATAAAAAAAAAAAAAAAGAACCTGCAACGTTGCACTAAACAGTTTCCGCTAGCATCTGGATTCAGTCCCAGTTAAGGTAACATATAGCGCCTTGGCTGAGTACTGTAGTTAGTAAACTGAGCTCTGTGTCAAGCTTTCTAGAGGTTTTTATACTAAACTCATCACCACAGTATTTAGGCAACTTCCAGAAGTGTACTGGGAAATGATTAAAATGTTCTTTCAGACTCTCTCCTGGGGAGAAGCATGTGCAAAGCAGTGTCTTGTCTTGTATGAGGGGACTTTTTGGTTTGTTTTTTATTCATTTTGGTATTGGAACATTTAGCATTTGTTAGGATCAGGAGCTAAGGCTTATGTTCCTGTATTTGGATTTACCATAGAGACAACGGGAAGAGACACAAGTTTGCATTAAGTGGACTGAATAACCTCCTGGAGATGCCTATTTTAGTCCAATGGCTCTTTAAGAAACCTTGATTGTTAGTACTGAGCATTAAGTGCCTGGTGATAACTATGAGGAATCCTAAGTCTAAGAGCACTTAACTCTTCAATACTGTTCACAAAATTCTTGGTGTTGGAAAAAAAAGATACCAAGAATAGTTTCAATAAGTTGCAAGAGAGCACAATTTTGTACCAGTGCTTTGTACAGTCAGACTCCTTCCAGTTCTCCACGATGATGCTCACAACTGTGAGGACATATCTGGATTCCAGCTGCCGTTCAGCCCCCAGGTTTTCTTCACCCTGAAGCTAACACAGTGGAATGATACCCATGTGCTGCATTCCCATCATTCCATTTCACCAAGACCAGCTGAAACATTTCCGCATCAGCCAAACATCTTGATCCAGTTTAGATTTTTTTCCTTTCTAGCATTTACATGAATAATAACAGCATACCTAACAGCAGAGACCATAGCTTATCATGTCCTAAGTAACAGAATAAATATCAGGAATTAGTAACATGAGTCAACTTTGACTTGCATATGGTTTTTCACATTACACATTGCTTCCAAGAAACTTGGGATTTGGTATTTCCTTTGGGAAGTCTGGTTCATTAGAATGAAGAGTGTAAAACCATGGGGAAGAGGAAAAGAAACTCTTCTTTGGAACTATTCACAGCAGTTTACAGCAAAACGGAAGTTAAGTGTCTGAACCAGTCTGCTGGGTAACACAAGCTTGCTTTGTGAGACATAGCTGCTTCAAATTCTGTCACGTTAGGCTGCTCGTATGGTTTCTACCTAGGACTGCATTTGCCCATATGATGAATCTATCTTTTATCTTATAACCAGATGCTTACTTCTGTTAGCACAACTTATTTCTTATTGGGGGATTCTGGAATAATCATTCACTGGAATTCTGGAAATAATAGACTTTGAGGAAAAGTATTTTATTTTCCTAATGAATTATGGTTTGCCTGTAGCAAATAGACGATCTTCCTTCAACTTCGAATGCCTCCGCCGACAAAGTAGTCAAGATGACATACCACTCTCTCCTAATTTCCACCATCGCACTGCTTTACCACTTCACTTAATGCAACAGCAGGTAAACACAAAATCTTATTTAACTAATAATGAATTACATTTCTCCAGCTTCTATATTGTACCTCTGACTTCCATTGTTGTTTGAAACAGTACTAGTGTATTATGTAGTTTGTCTGCGCACGACTTCTAGGCCAAATGTAGGCTTGTAGTTGCTAGACACGAGGCTTCTCAAACATCAACCTTACAAAACATTGAAAATTAGTAGTTTGCCCCTATGACTCTTTAAGTGTCCACAAAGAGTCGGGATGCCCTAAGGAATTTTGACCAGGACTACATAATACGGCAACTGGCTATTAATCTTTGCCTAGGCAGTTACCCAGCTCCATTTGTGAGAGCTTGCACGTACAACATACACATCATCTGAGGCTCAGTGCCCAGCTCTGACGTGGCCCTGAGAAGATGGTAATTTCCATTGCCTAGAGACACCATCCAGAATGCTTGGAAAATGCTGACAGCTTCCTACCCTATCCCTACAGGACAGAAGGAATGTTTTTACACTTTGCTTTTTTTGTTTAATATATTGTATAGGCAATTATTTTTCTTTATTAATGCTAATACCAAGATTTAGTAATCTTGATCCAAGTAATAATAGAAAAAATACCATTTTATCCTGTGAATTTACCCATTTCAGTCCTGTTCCTCCTTTACATGACTACTAAACATCAGAAAATGTTAACTTTGCATAGTTGCTGCCTGAACAATTGGTTTGAACTAACTGCTGAAATAAGAAATGAGTGTGACTGAGCATTTGAAATCACTAACTTCTAAAATTCTTCCCCTTACCAGGTCATGGCTGTTGCGGGTCTGGATTCCAGCAAAGCTCATAAACATTCACCAAGTCGTTCAACGCGTTCCTGGGCTACCCCACCTGCAACCCCTCCCAACAGGGACCGCACTCCCTATTACACACCTCTAATCCAGGTTGATAGGGCTGAATCTACAGAACATATGAATGGTAGCCTGCCTTCCTTGCATAGGAGCTCTTGGTACACAGATGACACTGATATTTCCTACCAAACATTTACACCAGCCAATTTAACTGTACCTAATGACTTTAGGTATAAACATAGTGACAAACAGAGGAGTGCAGACAGTTTGGTAGAAGCGGTAAGTATTACAGAAACCTCTGAAGTAGCCCAGGGTGTCTGTCCTGTCCAGTTTTTGTGTTAACTTTAAAAAGCATATCATTCAGTACACATTATCTCTCTGAAAATGTGGTATTTTCAGTTTCAAAGCCCAAAACTGGAATGTTAAGAATTCCCTTTTATATTAAAAAAAGATTTGAAGATAAAGAGTATATATAGCATTTCTGAATCATAATTACTGTTCTTGCTTCCATCTATCACTTCCTTTCCATTGCTATGAGCTAAACAATATACTTTGTTAAATTTTATTTGCAAATGGGACTTCAGCATCTTTCTTTCATGTAAAGTACCGAGAACGTATCTAGAATTCTGTTTTTCAGGCAGTTGTTCTAATTGCATCATCTGCAATATATTAACTGTTGTCTGTAGTATATCAGCCTGATGATTAATGTTTATCAAAGACTACTCCCAAATTTCTAAAGAGAAAAGTCAGATGTATGGCATCATCAGTTACATTACCACATAACTGATACAGTGTGGTTTGGAGCCATTTGATTGTTGATTTGATTTGATTTGATTGTTCTTTACATATACAGTTTTGCTGTGGGTTGCTGTAGCATGGGGTTTCTAGTGTTTTCCACAAATGAGAAATGTTGTTATGACCTGTCTGTTCTTCTGTATTTCCACTGTATATCTCATTCTCTGCTCTCCATCTGCCAGGTACTTATATCTGAAGGCCTAGGAAGGTATGCAAAAGATCCTAAATTTGTTTCAGCTACAAAACACGAGATTGCTGATGCATGTGACATGACTATTGATGAGATGGAAAGTGCAGCAAGTAATCTTCTCAATGGAAATATCAGCAATGGGACTAATGGGGATATGTTTCCAATTTTAAGCAGACAAGATTATGAACTTCAAGATTTTGGTCCTGGCTACAGTGATGAAGAACCAGAAACGGGACGATATGAAGAAGACTTAGCTGATGAAATGATATGCATTACGAGCTTATAGTATTTAGCAAGGAAAATGATTCTAATAACAGAAAAAGTGCCTCATAGTTTAAAGATGCTAGGCACTAGCTGGAGTGAACAACAATCAAGTTTTGTACGAGTGATGTCACACCTCAAGGAAGCCATAACTAATAAATTGATTATCTCCAGGTTGCCGAAATGTGATCAGAGTACATCAAGTCTCCTCCCACAGAATCTTCAGTTCCTCTGTAGGAATAAGGTTATTTTGAAACCAAGCAGACTGTGACAATCAGTTTTTTGAGGGCTAGAGCGGGATTCTGAGGTGTAATATCTTGCCTGTCTTTCAACCTTGTGCTGCTGTCCTTCATAGTAGAGCAGGATTTTGTCAGTGAAAATGTCTGTATAAGTCTGGCACAAAATTGCGTGGGAAATAGCAACGTGAGATGAGTGATGACAACCAATAATGTCATTACCTCAGTACTCAATTGCATATCAGCTGCCCGTTGCATATCCATTCTAACATTGTTTTCAAACTTGCCTCCTGATTTCTTTTCTTAATGCTCTTCTAAAATACAGTTTGTTATGCTCTACCTGTTAGAGATCATTGGAAAAAGAAGTTATATAAAGAATAATCTGTCATATGTAACACCAGTTTACATAGGAAAATATCATTCAGATAGTCTGTTTTATGACTATCACATTAAGGGCAAAATATACTGGAATAATTGCATTCTTACTAATGCACTTGCAACCAGGTTATAGTAGAATTAGATAAGATAGTTTGCTAAAAATTATATAATAGAAATTATTGTAAATGAATTGTAATATACAATGATTTGTATTTGTAAAGAGATGTTCTATATTTTGTAATTATTGTACCGTAATTGAACTGCAGCAATATTTATGGACCCTAATTATTGTAACTCTCCACAGAATTCTAGATAGAAGTATTTTTACTTGGAATATATAGATCTATAGCATAAATATTTAAATAGAGCCGCCTCTCAGTGTAAATCTCTTTTGGGATAAAGTGTCAAGTTTGAACTTGGCAACAGAACAGGTTGTTTTTTTTTTTTTAAATAATTGAGTCAAATGAATCTCTCTGCATAAGGGATGCACAGTTGACTATTTACAGTCTTATACTTGGAAAGGTAAAAGATTTAAAGTTATTTTAACTTTTTTGATTGAAAAATAAGCTCTAATTTTATTTTTGTATTAATCCCATGCTAAAAATAAACATTAAAATAATTTAAAAATTGGCAAGTTCATGCCAGGGTATTACTGGTCATGAGACAATTAGTTTTGACAACGTATATTACCTACATACCCTACTTTGATAGGAAGCATCTTGGGCAGAAAATATTTCACAGGTAAATGAAAATGCTTTACTTCAGTACTACTTACTCTGCTTGGAAAGAAAAGAAACATGATAAAATGATTCTTCACAGAACCAAAAACCTTCATATAAGAAGTATACTATTTTATTGCCTCTACCTTTCTGTTGTTCTATGTGTACTATTTCAAAGATTTATTTTTATGCAATCAAGAGAGGGCTTAGATATTGTTCACAATGCAGTAAAATCCTGAAATGACTTTGAGGCTAATACAACCTTGGAGGAAAATCAAAAAACACTGAAAAGCTACTGTCTATTTTGTTAGCACTGGATAACAATGACTTGTCTAACAAGTTATCTTATCAGGTTTTACCTGTAGTTCATATGCTAGATAGCAATCCAGTTCACATTTTTACAAATGTGATGTTTAAAACATGTCAATAAACATTTTGTACATAATGACAGTTTCCTATGAATAGCTTACAGACTTCCTCTGAAATCATTCTTATTTCAAATGCCAGGATAAGAACTTAAAGGTTTGTAAATTATTTCTTGACCTACATCATTTTGTATTAAAACAAATGCAAAATGTTCTTCAAAATAAAACTGTGTAATAATTTTATTATACTTGGGAGTCCTTTTACTAACAGTTTTTCACCAAGAAGCTCCAAAAATTAAATTCTGTTTGCACTGTTTGAAGAATGGAAGGGAATGTGTGGAATATAGTCATCAGTCTACACTATCATAGTATGCAAGTCTTTTATGAATGATTGCTAAATCTTTTATGAATGATTGCTGTTAACCAGAAAGAAATAAAGCGATTAGAGTATTCATATGAAAAAGTGTACTATTACTCCCCTACTATCTAGGGGATTATTACTTCCCTAGATACAGGTCTATGGAAACAATTAGGAAAATCTGACTAAAATCCCCTAAAACATCAAAACAAATAATCTGTGCTGTCTGCCAGGAAACACTCGGGTACTTACATTACCCAGCAGTAGTCACTTTGTTACACTTTCCCAGCTTACAGAAAAAAACTGTAGGAGACCAAAATGGAGCTTTCTGGATCTGGTATCACTGTGAAATAACAATAAGTAATTTTCAAAGTTCCACCCACTGTGGTATACCTGCTTCTGAAAACCACCTTTAAGGCAACTGAAGTTGAACATCAAAAAAAAAAGGAGGAAAAAATCCCAGACCAGGTTACTTAACTGCATGGACTTTTGATAGCACAAATTGAGCAGATTGAGCTGAATGACAATTTTTTTAATTAGTCATTTGTCTAAGGAGACAGGAAACAATATGCTGACTTCACTGTATTTTCTTGCTAGTATGGTTAGTCCTTAGCTTTCAATAGTCTGATGACAGACTCTTTAGGGCAGATATGCTATTTTATGAGAAAGCAGTGCTTACAAAAATAATGAAGGAAATTTAGTTACAAACCATGTTCTATATAGTTAATGGTTTAAGGGAGAGCATATGTGTATGGGTACACAGAATACCTGTTCAATTTCACTACAGAAGTATATGGAAAAAGTAATCAGTATATGCACAATTACATGGTAATTGGCACACTTAAAATACTGCCAATCATAGTAATTACTCAATACAGAAAAACTAGAAGTTATCTCAACAATTAAAGCATATTTCATGACTTTCCAGATTTGTTTTTATATGTATATAATGATAGAAAACATTAGTAAAGAATTAAACATTGCTAAGTCTTTTACAGTGAAGTAAATTCACTGAGAAAGTTAATATAGAAAATCTGTTCATATTTGAACAGTGTCTTTTTTTGGAGCGCGGATGACAGAAGAATAGAGGCTAAAAATTATAATACTGTAATAAGATATGCTTGTGTTCTCTCTACAATAACTCTTCATTTTAACTATAGTTTAAAAAAAAAAAAGCATAAATGCTTTTATTATTCCTCCAAATACGTTTCTATGTTTATTCTATAGAAAACGCATGTTCCAAGCCCACTTTTCAGTTTTCCAGTGTTTATATAGCTGTCTCATTTGATTGCAGGCTAATTGAAATCAAGACATTTGGAAAGGATTTTAAGCTGCAGAAACATCAAAAGTTCTGGCGTACAAAACCTTGAGTGGCCTTACATAAATATAATGCAGTTTTACAAATTTCCTTCAAATTTTCTTCAAATTTTTTCTGCTGCTTTTAAAAGCACTTCTCATACTAAAGCAACTTGAACTGAAATATGTGTACAAAAGAAACATTTCTGGTAATTTTTCTTTCTTAATCTCATTGTCCCCAGCCAGAGATCTCCAACTGCACCTGAAGCATCTGCAGCAAGCTATTACCACAGAAATGCTGGTGTTCTCACTCACAGTACCATTGCTGGTTCAAGCCATGCTGGCAGGCCTAATAACTTCCAAATTCTTACATCAAACAGCTTTTACAGTTAACTGTTTTTGAATACATAATGTAGTATCATCTGCGCAGTTATAGAAAAATTTATATCTGGGTAGAACTGGGAATAATGTTCAATTATACACTGTATTATTTTGTTAAATAAGTAAAAGTCTGGAATATCAGCCTGTGTTCTGCAATCCAGTAAGGTGTAAAAGATGGTTAATTGCAGCTATCAGACTGCCAGTGCTCCACAGAGTATGTTAGAATATCTTGTACCTGTTCTAAGTATCTCTTAGCAGACTTGACTCTGTTAGAAGTAAGAACGATTTTAACAGGAATTCGGTATCAGCAACCAGATGCAATGCAGAAGAAACTTGATGCTACATAAAGATTTCCCCAGGGCAACAAAACTTTCAAATACCTGAGCCATTTCTTCAGCATCACATCACAGGAATGTCATGAAAGAGCCTCAACATGCTATAGCAGTGAGACCTAAATTAATAAAGCAAGTGCGATTCACAGCAATGAAAATATTTAAGTGTTTAGAAGGGGAAGACTCTGCAAGGTGTCTATGTATGTTTAGAACTGCAAGATGATGATGATTCAGAAGAAATGCCCAATTATCTGATTGCACGGTGCAGCAATGTGTACCTGAACATAAGACACACATGCAGTTTGTCATGTATATCTAATCTTTCTATTTCCTCATCTTTTTAGAGCTTGACATAATGGCAGAGGATAGCTCTGTGCACGTTCAGTAATAAGTTATGTAAGACAGGGGCAAGTTAATCCTCTGCAGTTGCATAATAACAATTCCCATCTTGCATGCCTACAGTGGAAACCCATGTTGTAAATCTGCAGATGCAGGAACTTCGGTATTCCGTCTTTCCAAATTGCTTCCCTTCTCAACTGCACTGGACTGTGGTAAGTCTCACCAGTATATATTACTCTGAGTATCCTAATACTTTGTATTCCAAATGACACTAAGATACCTACTGAATACCTTTAAATTAAAATCTCAAAAGTACAGGTGCTGAATAAAAATTATTTGCCATAAAAACGTACACCATACACAGTTCGTGCTTTCCTCAAACGCACAGTTGCATCAGATGAATTGTCTTATTAACACAGCTAATCAATCACCTATGACTTAGAATATTTCTGCTCTTCCCCTCATTCCAAAAGAATGCATCACACACAGAAAGGGTTTACCTGTCTCCTTTTGGAGCAGAGTTCACTGCTATCATCTTCCATCTTCAGTATTTTTGTTTGTCTTTATGCAGATACTCTAATGAATTAAGTTCTTTCCCTTAGTTAGCAGCAGGGCTTCCAACCACTGCCTTACAGCAAGCAGCACCAGGTAGAAGTATCTGCCTTAAACATCTGCAGTTGTCCCTCTAGCCAACATCTGAGTCAGCAAGTTTTTTTACAATCTGCTCAAATGGTGTAAAATTCCATTTTTTTCTGCAAAAAAAGTTTATTCTGTTTACCACAAGTCCTGAGCAATCTTAGGCTACAGAAGCTTTTATTTTATAATTTGATAGCTGCTTAGTCAGAAGTTATTTTGGAATACTTAATAAATGCAAACAATTCAATGGATTCAATTTCATTCAATGAGTACAGTTTCTTTAGGTTTGTTTCTTTTTTTAAAAATCAGTACCTGAAAGTTAGATTGACACAGAAAACAGCCATGAAAGATCATGTATGTTGCTTTACACATCTGAAAATAGTAAAACAAAGATTTAAGTCCTAACTAAAATATAGCATTGGTTCTCTAAGTTACTTGCCTTCTAATTTAAAAAATTCTAATCCCATATCATCAATATCTGACCTTATGCAGTTATTTTGAGTAACCTTTCATTTTAAATCTAGCTTGGCTGTAATTTTTTTTTATAAAATTTTTGTGGTAGTAAGGCACCATTCAGAATATTTGCTGAGAAATATCTTTTGCAAACACTCATTTTTGAGCAAAGGCCAGTAACTTTAAGAATGTTATAGGAAGTGCAGACCTCTTACTGTGCTAAATGATAAAGTGGTACAACTAAATCAGCTTAAATTGTGAACGGAATTCTACTAAGCTCGTGCGAAAAAAGCAAAGAGAAATTCCAGTTTTCCAGTGTATTTTTATAAATATCAGCTCCTGTTCTGCATTTTTTAGAAAAATAAGTTTCTGATAAATACAACATATTTCTTTCTGAATGCTATACAGTTAAGACTGCTAAGTGTGGTGAAGTCTAACTTTCAGAGGATTTGTAAACTGTGCATTCCTCTCATAAAAAACCCCCATTCGACAAATTCCGAACACATGCAGGTTCCTCTCTCTCCCATGGATTCTGATACGAACTACTTTGGCCTGTGAATTTGAAACTGCATAAATGCTTACATTTACTTAACCATTCTTTGCAGGATGTGGGGATACTGACTAGCTGTTATCCTGGATAACACTCTCACAGCAGTTAAAATCCTTTAAATAACAAGGCATACCATAATGAAATAGCACACATTAATCTCTTCCATTCTTCATGCAATTGCACAGTATTTCTGGCTTACATGCACAACTGTCTTGTCATTTAGAAATAGCTTCTCTTCAAGAAAAAATTTGAATTGTATCACAAAAGGTCATGTTTGACTAAAATAAGCAGCTTAAGCCAACTGATTAAAAAAATGAATAGGTAGTCTAATACAAGAGAATGATTCAAATTAATAGTTATTTTAATAGGATATGTTGTTTTGCATGGTATTTATTTTGTTGGCATGTTCAGTATGAGATATCAACATGCTGATGAAAGCCTAAGTAGCAAAAGAAGTGAAAGGATGAGAACATTTGTTTATCTCTGTGTTTCCAAGGTCTTGGGCTTATATACAGGAACATTTTTCTCCTGAAGTGATGGGAGGCCCTTAATTATATCTGCAGCTTTCTCTGCTATCATAATAGTTGGGGCATTCAAATTTCCACTGACAACACTGGGCATTATTGAAGCATCTACTACTCTCAAGTTTTCAACGCCAATTACTTTTGTTTGGGGATCAACTACAGCAGTGCTATCTGAAAGCTGACCCATTTTACAGGTGCAGGAAGGATGATAAGCACTATCAGCCTTCTGCCTTATGAAAGCATCTATTTCTTTGTCAGACTGAACATGGTTTCCTGGTTGAATTTCAGGCCCGCAAAATTTTTCAAAAGCTTTCTGAGCAAAGATCTCTCTGGTCAACTTGACACACTGGCGGAATTCCCAAATATCTCTTTCTGTATGGAGAGAAAATAAGAAAACTGTAAGTACACCTTTAATTTATTAATGCATACAGAATGCATAACAGAAAAAAATAGCATCAAATAAAAAAACTGGAGGGAAAGTCTCTCACATTGCTGAAAGCCAAAATAAAGTCAGATATTTTTCAAAGTCACAGATATTTACGTTCACTGTGAACAAAACTGTCACTTATATTGCACAATCCTAAAAGGGAATAGGTGAGTTATGAAGAATTGCTTTTTATTTCACTATACCCACTGTCTAGCCAAGGACACTGGTCTCAGCACAAAGAAGCAAGCGCGATCCATTCCTTTAAAAGCAGAGGAGGGGATGAAATGAACAGCATGATGCAGCAAACGCCAAGAACCCTAGCTGCATCCCCAACAGGGAATTCTTTTTGGTTTATACAGTGCTTTCCACAATGGCCTCTTTTGATACTAACTGACTTTTATAAATGAAAAATAAATAACAGTGCACCAACCAGCACTTCTGAAGTGGTGTTGAGTAGATATGAAAATCTGCTACTGAAAGAGGCAGGAAGTAAGTTGACATCAGAGCAAGGAGAGGCTGCATTTACCTGTTGACAAGTAGTTAGGCTCAATGATGGGGTGGTCATTTGGGTCTGTACTCTTCAGCTTTAGCCAGCCCACACTCGTGCTCCTCATGGGTCCCACGTGGACCTGTAACACCCACGCTATACTCACGACACAATCCCACCAGACGTATTTCCAAATTCAGTATGAAGGTTTTTTTGCAATTTGGACAGTCTTTACAAATTAAGCAAATGTAAACATTAAGGGGAGAGAATGGAAAATATCATTGAACATTTTTCCATTTTATATAAATTTGTTGTAAATATGATATTCCATAGGGGAAGGGAATATACGTGTTTTATCAACTCACAGCTGTTCTTTTAATTTAAAATACAACCGTTCCAATTTGGCAGTAGCAGAGCATTCTAATACAATCAGCAATCAGACCAAATTACTATTATCACTGAAGAAAAGAGATTAGCAAGAAGAAACATGTATATTCAGTGACAGTTCCCCAGCATTAGCACAGGCTTTTGGATCAAGATCATAGTCTAAAATGGGGCTTGGATTTGTGCCAATGAATAAATGAGTGGCCTCATACATTCTCGCTTAAACCTCTGTCTGAACTGCAGTGGAACAGGGAACATCTTGTTTCAGTTTTGTACAGCATCTAGCACAGTGGTATCCTAATCAACAGCGCTACGTCGCTTCAGTAGTGCAAATACTTAAACAGCAGTTCAATACTTGCCTACTTTCCCAGAGACAAAAAGTAACATAATTTTGGCAGCAATATCAAATAACAAGCTCATGTTTTTTCCCCAATGTAGGAGGTTAGGCCAGCTCTTTTGTATTATACTGAAAAAAGTATTTTTCAGTATATAGCCGAATTATCAATATTTACAATAGAGTGTAAGCCTCCTTGCTAATTACTACAGAATGTGGAATATGTTCTTCAACAACTCACCTGGTAAGCTTCCATTGTGGAAGCAACCCGACCATGATCAATCACCTGAGAAGGAAGAAAGTGGAACTGAATGTCGGGGTGAGGAACCCCTGGTTCACTTCGGATAAAACCACCAGATTCTAAGTGGGCAGTCGCTCCCTCACCTAGAGAGTGTAAATGAGAGAGAAAATGCCATTAAAAGACCTCAGAAAAGCAAGAAATCCACTTCTTCTTAACCCTTGGTTTCACTACTATGAATAATTTATATATACAATGGCAATTGCAAGGAACACAAATCCATTATGAACAGCTTGTAATTTAAGCAATATGCTTCACTCTCATCTGCTTTTTAATCACTAGATAATGTAAATACGCCTAACTTTGGAAATCCCACTTGTTCAAGAGTGGGATGTTACAGTTATCTCACTGTAACTGTCAGGCCTAGGGTCTAACTCCAGAGGCAGATTTGGTCCCAGGATTTTAACCGGTGTGGAGGGAACCGACTGCAGCATCCTGATATTACTGCGCTGCACGCTCCATGACATGCGGTATAGTTATGCCATCAGTCACGTGTAATAGGCAGAGCCATCCACAGTACCTACCCTGAAGGGGAAAGATGAAGGGCCTGCAATGCTCCTCATATTAAGTTATTTTCACATCCATTTAAAACCATGAGTTAGCCCTCAATATTTACTTGCATGATAAAAAGCCACATATACCCAGCCATATACTTTGGCCAAACTATTTTACTGATTTCAAGGATTACTTTAACAGATTCTTTTTAAGGTACAACTTACAGTTGGGTTACTGTAAAATGAGTGTGTCATTTTAACGAAAGTCACTTCTGATTTACATGCAAGCCTAAAGGGTTCTGATCAGAGCAACAAACTAATTCTTTTGGGGCAATTATACAGAAAACTTAATTCAGTTCAATAATATGTTTTTATTGACACAATATCTATTTCAAATAGAATTTTTTCTTCATTTTTTACAACTGTTTGCAGTAGCACCAAGATTTTTAAATGCAGAATTTTTCTTAAAATGAGAGAGATATAAAAATGTTAAAAAATAGTGTAAAAAACCCTCCCTTGTTACCTAAGATATAATAACTGTTTTAAAATATTCTGATTTAGAAAAAAAAGGAATAGTTCAAGTCCATTTGCAAACTCGAGTTATTTCCCAGAACATGAAAAAAATTATATATGAAGGATCACAGACTTTTAAATTCATGGATAAACGGTGGTAATAATTCTAAATCAATCAATGGTAGAGTGATTGCATACTTTGTTTCATACCTGTAAACTTCCAAAGCCATTCTAGACCAATCCTCACCATGTTAACTGGCTTTTGTGCGTTATATAGAGTAATAGGTTTGATGCACTTTTGCTGGACATACACTTCTAAATGATCTTGAAGGTTCTGGCCAACTCCTGGGGCGGAATGGAAAGGGGGAGGAGGGAGAAGAAAGGGAAAAAAGAAGTTATTTCACACAGAACAATTATGCACAACATTTGCAACCAGAAAACAGCATAAATGGGAACTAAACTAACCTCTTACAAGGGCAGTGATGACTAAGACCAACACCATGAGTCCTATCAGACTTCTGCTCATGTCAGAATAAGGTTTTACATAAACATAGCATAACTAGAATGAAAATAAAGTTAAATGGCAGATATATCACTTGTTCTAAAATTGCCAGATATGACTTCTAAATACAGTACTAGCTTTTCTAGTTTTAAGGAAAAGTTTGTGTTATTCCTTCTATCTTGGAATATATTTGACAGTGGGAGTTTATACAATCTGTTGTGGATCAAAACTCATTCAAAATTCTAAATGATAAGTATGCTGCTTTACTTTAAAAGTACTCAGTGGCATTTTTCAGAAAGGCATTTTTCACTATCAAATGTAGTGAAGAAAGTGTAGGAGTTTATTGCTCAGTTCTAAAATCAATGTATGTTTCACCGATTTGTAACACTTACGTTTCAGTCCACACAACCTGACATAAAGATAACTGAATTTCATGGATTCATTTCATTTAATGGTCTTTGAATTGCATCCATAGGAAGATGTAAGGTTAAAAGAAATAATAAAATTACCAGGAAGATGGCAAACAACAGGGATCCCCAGTTTTTTTAGATCATCTGCATTGCCAATCCCAGACAACATAAGCAGCTGTGGAGAATTTATGGCACCTCCACTTAAAATAACTTCTTTACTGGCAAAAGCCTAAAAGGAAATGAGCACAAAAGTCCTAATATTATTAAGCCTGATCTGAATGCAAACAGCATGTCAAGAGCTTCTGTTCATATATGCTATTCTGATCCTTCCCTCACATTTTTCCCATTCCAAATGTATTCCTATCTTGCCAGAAGTTTCTGCAGGGAGAAATGATCAAGCTTTTACTTTGATAATTTCTGTATTTATTCCCATGTTTACAATCCGTTCAAACTGTACAGCACACAAACATTCAGCTCAGCCAGTACCATGGCTGCCAATAAACTCCTGTGCTATTTGCCAGGAAAAGCACTTGGATGACACTCGCAGTCAGTTAAGCGTCCCTTCCATTTTCAATAATGATTGGTAAATTAAAACTGAAACTCCTAAGGAAGATTTTGAATTCAGAGACATGCTAGCTCAAAAATTCTGAAGAGCTTATTTTCTTAATTCAACCAAGACTAATGTGTGGTTTCCTAGCTCATTGTAGTCCTAAGAAGCCCCTCAACCACTAAAGCACTACTGAGAAAACTCTGACTGCAAGCATATATATAATTCTGTTTTGCTGACAGACTTTTCATCAAACAGTTTGAGTCTGAGCCCTGAGCTGGTCATGATATAACCTGCTAAACTATTCCTCTGCCTTTGACTCGGTTTTCTGTGCTGGATGGTTCTTCTTCTAGAACCTTCTCTGCAAGTACTTTTGGCAATCTTCTTTGCAAGCAATTCTGCCCCAAAATATTCTCATTTAGCAATATCAAAATCCTTCTCTGTCATTTGTATCAGGGGGCTACCTCTTCCCTGTTGCTACATCTCTTAAATTTAGGACCAGAACTACTCCCCTTAGTGCTTTTCACTGTTAAAAGGGAAAACTGTGTGGAATAAGAAAATATTGATACCCTTCTTCTTTTCCCTTTACTCTTTGAAAGAGGATGGTGTGGGTGAACCGAACCTTGTTCAAACTATCCCATTCTATTCCAGTGAGATGGCTCATGAACATACACACATTGGATGCACTCCATCCTCCCTAGTTGCATGTATGTTGCCTGCTGAAATGTAAGATATCCTTTATATGCACACTGAGTTAAGTAGTTGAGTACAAACTGAAGAGTAACTCTTGCATGTTAGAAAAAAAAGATTCAAGGCACACCTGTCCTTAAGAAAGAACAACTGCACCACAGAAGAAACAAAAAGTAAGCAGCAATTTATATTTAATGCAAATTCTAATGCTACCTAAGCTAGTCCAGTGTATTAAAGAAATACACATTTGCAAAAGTAATACCATAATATTTATCTGTGAATTCTAATATATCAGTGTGGCCACAGTGAGGAAAAAATAGATGAGGCACACAACTATACCCCTGAACTTCCTCTCATTAGCAAGCAAACCCCACAAGCGTTCAAGAAAACATATCTGGTATTGCTCATCCGCATTCTCCACTTTCATAGAATGTAAGGTGCTATCATGAGTAGCTGCTTGTTTTTATTTTAGATGAGACATTTAGCTTCTAAAGCAACATTAAAAAGTGCTATTTTTTTCTGTAGCACGGTGAAGTGCTAACAGATTAGCATGGAGTGCGTATTAACTTGTAGTAATCCTGTCCTTTTTGAATGACACCTCAGCTATACAGAATGATGGTGAATGAGGTTGTTGCTAGTAATAAGATCAAAGTGTAGTAAGAAGATAAATTTTGATAAATTGTTTCCACGCTATCTGATATTGCCAACAGATAGCCAGTGCTGATATTTTTTGTTCGTTGTTGTTTTGCTCCGGGCAATCATTAGTATGTTAAGACTAATACACAGCGTATCTGTGACTGCTGAATCAATACCTATTTTGCATGTTATTCAAATGTAACTTATTTATATTTTCTATGGCACACACAGAACTGGTGCCAGTTTGTTCCAGGTAGTGTTCAAATGATGCTCGTTCGGTCTACGCTCACTGCAAAGTCAGCACTGTAGTTATTCCTAGCTCATATACAGTCTTTCGTTGTCCTTAAAGCTAACACGCAAAGAGGAAAAACTGACTCTGAAACATTTTTGTATGGGTTATTTAATCTATGATACATTAAAAACATTCTTCCCCTTTAAATACACTTTTCTGCTTCATTCTGAACTCGGAAGCTCCAGGAATGTTCAGTCAACCTTCCCTACTTTTGTCAGAGGGCTTACCGGAGTCCTGGGAGCTCTCCGGGACCCCAATGTCTACTGAAATAACAATTAAGTCACTGGCTTGATGAATAGGTTTTGAATCATGCTTGAATCAGATTTTGATGATCTTTTAACTTTACTGATGACTGACGTAAAAGAGATCCTACCTAAAATAGACTGTAAAAACAAAAACGCTTTAATGTAATCAAGTGTTTCATCTTGATGTTCATAATGTAATAAAATTATTAGCTCTTCCGTCCTGACAGGTATAAAATTTTCCAGAAAGGAAAAGCAGACAAGTCCTGCAATTTTGATATTGGGGGTGGGAGGGAAAGGAAGGGAAATATTTTGAGGGTGTACTTTTTATGATAGATGCTATAAATATGTATCATTCATTATGTTTAATTCATAGATGTATTAATACGTAAGAAAATTCATAGCAATTCAAGAATTTTGCAATTACAGTGGTCCAGTATTCAGAAAGTCTTTGATCATATGTAATTAGCTTTCCAAGACTTTCTTCAACAAAATTAATCTTGATAATGGCACAAGAACAGCAAGTAGAGACACTGTTTTCGCAGACACTTAATAGCTCATGAAATCAATTACATTTTCTGCAACTTTTGTTTTACATTGTTAAAATGATTATCATTACCAATCCACTTAGAAAACAACAGATTTGTTCTGTGCATTAGAAAATGAAAGAACAGTTTATTTATATTGCATTTTAACTTTTAGCAGGTGTTAAGTCACAGAACACTTGTCTGTTGAGTCTTGTAAGCCTTACTGAACTCAAACCATCAAAATTTGTACTCTTTTCTCTTTAGGATATTACTATTACACTTTTTAATTGTTTTATACTTGTTTGTGACTATCTTAAGTTATTAACATACAAATCCCTTTTAGGCAATTTCCTAGTTACATACTCCATAATCAGCTGTAATAGTAAAGAGTTAAGGGAAATGAGAATGTTTTAGGTCTTACAGAAGCCAATGGATTGAAAGCTGCATAAAATGAGCTGTTTATCCACAGAGTTAAGTTGTAATGGCAGTTCAAGCTTCCTTCCACATGATCACATGTTCAGTGGAAGTTGGACTGAGACTGAAAAATATTCATTCCATAAACAACCATAAGGCACGTTTCATCATTATGTTTCATCATTACTGTCCCAAAACTTAATACATTATGGCAAAGTAGAAGTGAATGACTCATTATTTATCCCTTGAGCCATTCAGATTTCAGTATCTAGCTTTTACAGATCTTCCTACGCCAGAACAGCATTTTCAGAATTGTTTTTCAGAAACATCAGCATTTCAGCACACTAGTCAATACGCTGAGACAGTGCATGATTGCACCATAGGTTCCAGCCAGAAACCTTACACAACACTGTTGCGTAACATCAAGTTATAGCTTGTCCCTTCAGTACTGAGAGAGGGAAATATAATGGAGATGTTAATCTCTAAATCGATACAGCTGAAATATTACCTACTGTAAAATAACTGACACGGAATCACATACTGGAAGAGACAACATAGCACCTGAAAAGCAGACATTTTGCATAGTAAGGTCCCACTTTTAATAAAAGTTTGTTTTTAAAAAAAAAATTTAATTTTGCTTTGACTTTTGTACCTTTCATACAGCAAAATAAAAATCTCTTACCTTTTTCCTTTGCCCATTTTTCACATACTCAACACCAATGGATTTTGTTCCTTGAAACAAGATTTTTGTTACAAGTGTCTTCACTGCAACTGACAAATTCGGGCGTGATATGGCTGGGTGAAGATAAGCACTAGCTGTGCTCCATCTTTGACCTACAATGTATATTTACATTAAACATCAAAATAGTCATGTTCAGTATTCTTCAAGATTTTGGCCAATTACCATCAGGATGTTTACAGAGGGAAAGCCTTCATAGAGTTTATGGAGTTCAAAGCAAATGTGATTTGATATAATAACTAAAGATTTCATTTAACATAACAAATTTCACAACGACATTCTGAAAACCTACTGTCCTTCCCAAATTTGTCTATGAATCAAGACTTGTATGCCAATGCAATTTCAATGAAATACACCCTAGACTGATAGCAAGCTGCTGTAAAATGAACAGGGTGTAAATACAGAGTGCCATAGCTGTTCAGTAATCTAAACAACCAAATGGCATTCAGTGCAGATTATATGTCCATATTCCAAAATGGTTTCAGAACTACTACTGGTGGGTCAGAAATACAAATTACTTAAGGACCCCTTTATGATTTACCTTGGTGTACAGTCATGTCCATCCAGCCAAATCCTTCTTGCTGATAGCCATTCATATCATCTGTGAAGGGGTACCCAGCTTGCTGGGTTGCCTCCAGGAATGCATGATGAAGAGGATGGTTTGTTTTCCCTCTTGACACATACAGGGGTCCATTTCCACCTCTGTACTGATCTGGCCCCAGTTCATGTGTCTGTGCCTTCTTAAAATAGGGCAAGCAATGTTCATAGTCCCATCCTATAGCCCCTTCCCTGCTCCATCGATTATAATCTTCTGCATGCCCACGAATGTATACCATAGCATTGAGAGAAGAGGAGCCACCCCACACTCTTCCACGGGGCCAGTACATAATTCGGTTATCCATATGCTTTTGTGATGTTGTGTGGTAATACCAGTTATATTTCTCATCACAGAGGTTGTATGTTAATGCAGCAGGCATATGAATCTTCCACATTAGTCTTTTACTACCTAGAAGGGTATCTTTAGGGCCTGCTTCCAAAAGTAGTACAGTATTGAGAGGGTCTTCAGTCAACCTGTTGGCTAATACACACCCTGCTGATCCAGCTCCAACAATGACATAATTATAAGAGTTTGCCTTTTCAGAACTAAGTTGAGATGATGTACGTGAGATTTTGAATTGTTGTTCATTGATGCCCAGTATGTTCTTTAATATGTGTGCTTTAAACAGAGTTCCTGTTACTTTGTGCATCTGATTCACAGGACTGCAACATTTAACTCTTGTCATTAAGTATGACATCTTGACTGATTGTAGAACTCTTGCAGAATTTCTAACAAAAATACAGTGTATTATCCTAGAAAAACAAACAAACAAAAAAAAATCCTAATTAAGGTGTAAGCATTAATAAAATCTATGACCTCTAAAATGTCAGTCATTTTCAGGTAAAACTGGTATACTTTACCCATTCTCACTATCTGAAAGGTTAACAACAATGCCAATAAACCAATAAACATTAACTCTGAAACTTGCTGTCTTATTTTAATGGAGTCTACGCACCCGTCAAGTGGCCTATGTAATTTTGTATTATATGCAGTCTGATTTTGATTTGCTTCTGGTTCCTGAGGTAGATACATGAAGCAGATTTTCAAGTATTTGCCACAACCACAAAGGATGGAAACCTTTGCTTACCTTGTAGTCTCTCTTCATCTGCCTCTAGTAGATAAGAATTTAAGAAAAACAACAATTTCATAAACTTCTCCGTAAGTTTGTGGCAGTCAGTGATATTGCATAGCCAAGTCACAACAACGGAAATGATGAGTATGCCCACTGTAGCTTCTGCCAGACCAAATCTAGGACAACGTCTCTACAAAACACGTGTAACAGTGAAACTCATTTTCAGCTATCCCTAAGGTGAAAAACTGCTGGGTTTTGAGGTATGTCTCCTAAAACAGGCAAGGCAAAATCTATTCATCTGTGGCTTTCTACCTTATTACTAAAACCAGATCCTGCAGGAGTGCTCTGAGGACAGTTACAATCTAATACCACCAGATCCTTAGGCTGAGTAGGAATGGCAATTTTTTTACCTTCAGAGAAGCCTGTGAGCCTTGCAAGCAACACAGGTTTAGCTCTGTGTTGCACAGGTTCAGGTACAGGGACTAAATGCAACATTTTCATAGCCCGTGTAAGTGTCATAGGTACCGATGCTGTTGGCCAGTCTGAAGTGTGTTTCTCTTGCGCTCTCTCCTTGAAACCATTTCCCTTGGTATAAACAATTTGTGAAAATGGATATCCTTGGGCTGTAAAAACTATTTCTCCTTGGCCCATGGCTTCTGTCTAAGTGGTTGCGTTGGATTCTAGAGACAGCAACCTATCCAGAGGCTGTTACACTATAATGCACTGCCCATCTGAAAGAGATAAGCAAGCTTCCTCCTGGAAATATATTGAATACTGTATTATGTTTGTGAAATCTAATTTTTCAGAAATTAATTAAGTTGTTAACATTGATTTTCATACATTCAAGTTTCACAGTTATCCAATATTTTGTAATATAAGCCCTGTATTTCTGTAAAATGTCTGGATTTTTTCACTAAAAGAAAACATGTCTTAATCAATCATTGAAATAATCAGCTTTTTCTTACTAAAAGGTACAGCAGAATTGTACTGATTTTCTCGGGTGAAACTCTACAATGTACAGTTTGTGAGAGCACACATGACGTCTTAAGGCCCAACTCTGTAACAAAATTAGGTGCAGGTTCCTGATAAACATTAAAAGTCTTCAACATACATCTTTATTTATTTACAATTTGATGTACAATCTCATATGCAAAAGTATTTTTTTTTCCTCTCAGGTAAAGGATGGGAATAAGCATACATCTCTTACTCTTCTCTAGGAAAACTTGTAATAGGCTGTACAAACCCTCAAACTTCTGAAAATGAACAACCAACCATGGAGAACAGTTTGCTCTGTTAAAAAAAAAAAAAAAAAAAGGATGCAGGGGATAGGTCTGAGCTCAGAGTTCACACAGCTGATTCTCACATGGCTAATTCAAAATTTATCCCAGCTGAAGATGGGGGGTTGTCTTTTACAAGTGGGGAATATTAAAGGACTCTGTCTTGGAAAGAAGGTTTGGCAATTTTCTGTAATGCAGCAGAGGAGGATGCAAAGGTAGAGAGGTTTTTACTTGTTTTGTTTTGATTTGTTTGTGATGAAGAGGGCTACAATTCTGAAGCACTTGTGTTTAACCTGCAGAACTGGTGGGTCACAGGAACAGCAGATGTCTGATGGGGTTGGTAGAATAGGGGCCTGAGACCTGATAATCTGGGAAAGATACTTTGTCCTTTATAATGTGAGTTGTTTTTTTTTTTTCTGGTGGAGATTCACCATGATGAGGTGAAGTGATCAACCTTACTCCTGAGGGAGTAAACCCTCAGGTTTTGGTCCTACAGATAGTTAACACTTATTATTTAGATGGGTATGGCTCACAGACTCTGGAACAAGTACTGGCTGGCTTGTTTTGGCATAGGATCTATAATGCCATCAAATATTACTGTGCCTCCTAACCAGAATGCTGGTGTTAAGCCTACAACCTACCTAGCTGTTGGCTGTAAAGAGGGTAGATTCTGCAGAATCCCTGGAATCATGTTCAGTCAGGGACTGACTTATTCTGGTAGTGCTGGAGGCTTGCTACAGCATAAGCAGTGGCTACTGAGCTCCCAAAAATATTATCTCAAGTGACACTCCAAAGGCAGCATTGATTTTACAGGACTAAGTGTTTGTGTCTTGCCTTATGCCAGAACCCTGATACTGAAGTCTAGACCCTTTTAAAAGCTGATGTGTTAAGAGCCCTCACATGTGCAGGCTTTGAAACTCATAGAACAATTCAACCTTGTATTGAAGGGGTTGGTATCTAGGACTGAGATCATGAAGTCCTGAAATTAGAACATGATGATACGTCTCCCTGAAATAATCTATGTAGTTCTATGAGCATACGTGGGCTTATCACAGTTCAAGTTCTACAGAAGATAGTCTTGTGGAATTTTGCAGGAGTCCCTCTTTGAACAAGAGAACATCAGTCAAAAAGTAACCTAATGCATCTTTGCACTCAACTTTCTGTTAGTTTTATCTGGCTTTTTTGCCAGGGAGCATTTACAACCTGTGCAGTGCTCTGAAGAGCTGTATTTCAGCAAGAATGTGCTTCTTCCAGTAATTGGAAAAAATCAAGGTAGAAAAAATCCTAACAGGTAGAGTAACCCCAGGCTCTGAGATGTGCTGGGGAATCTGACCCAATTTACCCAGTAGGAAACTACAGTTTTATGGCCAGCTCTATTAAATATTGTAGTGGCTATGTCAAAACAAAACATATTCTACTGGAATGCTCTGTACTTACCACCAACAGAAAGTTGTCTTTTGGGCCTTACTGAATATTATTGCATGTCCTTATCTGCATTCTTACATATCGTGACCTCTTTATGAACAGGTAGTAAGATATTCCTCAGGAATCGGTGAACAGACCTGCAGAAATGCATTCAGCAGCAACATAAAATATATTCACTGTATTGCACTAGAGCTTAAAAAATCTGGAGCTTGTTTTTAAGAAGCATGTATTTACAGATATTATTACTATTGAGCAGGGCCTGTAGACACTGGTCTTACAAGAATGAGGAGAGCAGGAGCATCTAAGCAGGAAAATTCTATTGCTACAATTTAATAATATATCTAATCGCACACCAGGTAGCTAGAAGTGGGTAGTGGAGTTCTCAAGTTAGGTGTTTGGGGCTCCTTGCATCAATGTAACACATTTCTGAATGCAGTATCAGGCTTGCATGAGAAATAAACCCTGATGTAACCCATGGGTGGGTACCATTGCGACTCTACAGATGTTGATGTGGGGTCACATGTGAAAACAGACCTCTCTAAGGGAGAGTGAAGCTGTGAAAGGTGAAGAATGTGTTACTTCACTTTTTTTTTTTTTTTAAGAGGAAGGGCGAGACAAAAAGGAGAGGAAAAGATATGCGAGAGGCTGCGTAGGGCATCTAAGGACTAAATTGGCTTGCTCTTTCTGTAAGAAGCTAAGCAAAAGTGCTAGGATCCAGCCCAGGGACCTTACTCCTAGACCTCCAGATTTAAAGGGCTCACAGTCCACAACAAAGAGAGCAGGGTAGGTATCCTGCACACATAGGGGGGGATATATTGAAAAATGGACAGTAATGAAATGGTTCTGTAGGTGGATGAAGTGGCTAATCTAAAAAAGTTACAGGGCACTGGGCATCATTACTGTTAACCAATCAGAGCTGTCCCGTTCTTTGATAAAACTTGAAATAAGAGTGATCAAAAATATGTACCGAGACAGTTAGGGTACTCACTGTGAGGGCTAAAAGGCTGAATTACCAGCCAAGAAAGCTAAATCTAATGTTCCTTTTAAGTAACTGAGGTAGTATTTTTTAATCTACACCACCACATATGTTTGTCAGATTTATAGTTAGATGTTATTTCATGTTTTTCTTTGCTTTGTTGTTGTTGTTGTTTTACATCAAATGGAACAGGACTAGCAGAGTAACATTTGAGAGAATTTTTATCTTGCAAAGAGAGAGTTGGGAGTGAAGTCAGTCAACAGTGTCCTGGTCATAATATTCAAGTGACTTTGAGAATCAGTGTGTAGGTGATTCACAAATTTCTGTGCTTTTAAGTTCTTAGGTGCAGAGGTCAAAAATCAAGCCATTCTGATTTAAATTAAATCCAATATACATAGTTGGATTGAATGGGTGAAAACACTAGTTTCAATGCACAATTCTTTTTGTCATATTGATCCATACCCACTCTCATCTACGCATGGTCCTTGTGCACAAGCGCTATCCCACCCCAGTTCCTCTGAACTAATCCTGAAACAAAGAGGGGATGGTCCCTGTGGCTGAAACTTTATGCCCTGTCCTATTTTGCCAGGGCCGAAACAATAATATTCTCTCTGGCAGATGCAGAATACAACCCTCTCCCAGAGATGTCCAACAGCATGGACAATACATAGTGCAGCAAAGCAACGGGACCTTTGCTGGACACTTAATCTTCACGGCACTGCGCGGCCAAAACCTGCCAGGCCTGTCTGCGTAAGACGCAGGAGGAACAGCTCCTCAGGTAAAAGCAGCTCTTGCTTCCCCCCCGCCCCCCTGCAGACTGTGTACGCAGTTCAAACTCAGCTGCTGTGGGAGTGTTTTGGACTAACTTTCCCTTCAGTCCTGCTAGTAAAAAAGTTCATTCACTTACAGAAACCTTATGGTAAGTTTTCCGCGGCTGAAACTGTTCAAGTCTACTTACCTCACCATTTCTTCCTTTATGAACAAACGTC